AGGGTTTCCAAGGAGTGACTGGTGGATTCAAACTGCTGACCCTTCGGTTAGCAGCTGTAGCTCTTAACCACTATACCAACAGGGCTCCTATAATACAATAAACCAAAAACCTGTTGCCGTCGAGTTGATTCTGACTCATAGCGACCCGATAGGACAGAGTAGAACTGCCCCACAGAGTTTCCAAGGAGCACCTGGTGGATTCTAATTGCCAATCTTTTGGTTAGCAGCTATTGCTCCTAACCACTACGCCACCAGGGTTTCCTATAATAGTATATATATATTTATAATGGAATCTCATTAATTTTTCCTTACACTTTTTAAATTAAATTTATTTATTTAATATAATTTATTTTTATTTTTGTGTATTGTTTTTGAGAATATACACAGCAAAACAACATTCTTTCTCATACTTTGAAACTTCTTGGAACATGATTTGATTTCCTAGAAGTGACTAACTTCTGCTGTGAGTTGAGCAAATTACTGCAACTAATTACCTGTAATTCAAATTTTATCTAAGCACATAGCTATTAATATAACGATTTTGGGTAGTATCACCTTTGCACCACATTAGTAGTACTGCCACATTAAAATGATCTTTTTCTAAAGCCATACCAAACCAAAAACCCACTGCCAGAGTCGATTCCAACTCATAGCAACCCCACAAGACAGGGTAGAATGGCCCCAAAAGGTTTCCAAGGCTGTAAATCTGCCATATCTTTCTCCCATTAAGTGGCTGGTGGGTCTGAACCGCTGACCTTTTTTTGGTTAGCAGCCGAGTGCTTTAACTACTGCGCTGCCAGGGCTCCATTCTAAAGCTATTGGGACAACAAATTAATAAGTTAATCGTCAGAACATATTTTCTATCATCAGTTCTACAACTCTTACTAAACTGGCATGTCTTGAACTTACCACCGGTGAGGCCAGACAATGTGTAATGGTCTTTGCTGATCATCAACTCCACCCAAAGTGTCAGAGGGATTAAGAGTTGGATTTTGTTTCTTTTCCTCCTGATAAGAGTTTGAATCATCTGATGAGTTGGACTGGTTCAAGTCTGACAGTTGCATTAATGAGCTACCCAGGCTTTCTTGCTGTATTGTTCCAAGGCCAGAGACTGCACCACAAAGTCCAGACTCTCCAGTAAAATTCTTCAATACACTCTCAGAACCTCTCTGCTCCTGTTGGGAAGGAAGGGCCATGGATGGAGCAGCACCGTTATTCCTTTCAAGGCTGAGCATCTTCTTTAAATGGGTTATTTTGTGCTTGGGCATGTATCTGTTACAAGAGAATGCAATACACTTTTACTGAAAATAATGTTTCAAATTTGTCCTATACTTTTCTGTAAGACATGATGATTATGCATAATACTGAGAACAAATGAAATGAAGATACTATAACAAAAATTCTAGGAAAAAATTACAAAAAGTAGTAGCCATTTAGAGGAAGTTCCAAAGTTTGGAATTAGACATGACTCTCTTTGAATGGTTTCCGAAGCGTTTCTGTGGCTATAAAACCTGTACTGGCCCTACAAACCTTTACGAAGTTAGAGACTCACACCATCCAGCCCCCTCCTTTTTTGTAACAGTTATTTCTGGCCAAAGGAATACATACCATAAAAAATAGGACTAGAGACATTGTTTATCATTCTTCCTTAATTCATCTTTCTGGATTTCCATTTTGCCAGTGCTTACTTTCAGGCCACACTTGTTCATCAACCTACAAAAATGTCCCAAACTTCTTTGATCAACATTAGCCATTTCTGCTCACAAGAATGCCTATATTCCTGGTCACCTGTACACACTTTTTAAATTAAACTGACCTTGTTAAAGTTTCTTTTTTTGAGAACACTTTATTGTGGTTTAGGTGAAAGTTTACATAGTAAATTAGTTTCCCACTCGATAATTCATATACAAATTTTTCCGTGACATTGGTTGCAATCCCCCCAATGTGTCAGCACTCTCCCCACTTCCACCCTTGTGCATTCTCCCCATCTCCACCCTTGGTTCCCCATTTCCACTTGTCCAGTTTCCCTGCCCCTTCCTGCCTTCTCATCTTTGCTTTTGGGCAAATGTTGCCCTGCTGGTCCTGTACAGTTGATTGTTCTAAGGAGCACATTCCACATGAGTGTTACTGTCTACTTTATAGGCCTATTATTTGGAAACTCTGGTGGCATAGTGGTTAAGAGCTACGATTGCTAACCAAAAGGTCGGCAGTTCAGATCTACCAGGCGCTCCTTGGAAACCCTATGGGGCAGTTTTACTCTGTCCTATAGGGTCACTATGAGTCGGAATCTACTCGACGGCAATTTTTTTTTTTTTTTCTGGTGTATTATTTGGCTGAAAGGTGACCTCCGGGAGTGGCTTTCAGTTCCAAGTTTGAAGGGTGTCTTAGGGCTATAGTCTTGGTGGTTCCTCCAGCCTCTATCAGACCAGTAAGTCTGGTCTTTTTTTATGAATTTGAATTTTGTTCTACATTTTTCTCCTACTTTAAAAGGGACTTTCTATTGTGCTCCTGGTTAGAGTGGTCAGTAGTGGTAGCCGGGTACCATCTAGTTCTTCTGGTCTGTGGCTAGTTAAGGCTGTGGTTCATGTGGGCCATTAGTCCTTTGGACTAATTGCTTCCCTAAGTCTTTGGTTTTCTTCACTCTCCTTTGCTTCAGATGGGAAGAGATTAATAGTTGTATTTTAGATGATAGCTCACAAGCTTTTAAGATCCCAGATGCTACTCACCACAGTAGGATGAAGAACATTATCTTTGTGAACTATGTTATGCCAATTGACCTAGATGTCCCCTGAGACTATGGTCCTCAGCCCTTAATCCCAGTATCTGAGTACCACAAGGTGTTTGGTTATGTCTAAGAAGTTTCCATAACTGTGCCTCCTATGTGCTCTACTGTATGTTTGAATATACATGCAGCACATATAAGTACATATGTAGAAACATCCTCAATTCCATCTATATATGCGTGCAGGTGTACTCCCATACGACCTCCCACACCTGTCTAGCATACATACCTACCAATGTATCCATTCATAAATTATTGTTTGTTATTACTGTTGTTGCAGGATTGTATATGCTATAGTATTTTCCACAGTTGCCCTGTATTCTTGCGCACCTCTCAGTGTCTTCCTTTGCCTTGGTCACGTTGTGCTGGCTTTCCTCATATTGCATTACCTTTTACCAAAATTAACACGTGTCTACTATCTAGTTAGTGATTTTCCCTCCCTTCCCCGTACCATCCCTGGTACCATCGAAGAATGTTTCTTTCTGTGTAAAAACCTTTTCTTGATTTTTTTATAATAATGGTCTCAACAATATTTGTCCTTTTGTGACTGACTTATTTCACTCAGTATAATGTCCTCGAAATTCATCCATGTTGTGAGATGTTTCATGGACTCATCATTTTTTATCATTGAGTAGTATTCCATTGTATATATGTACTAACATTTGTTTATCCATTCATCCATTGATGGTTAAAGTTTCTAGAAGTTTATTTTTATGTCTTCTTCATGTATCATTTCTCCCCTCTTCTCATGTTTTATCATACAGAGTTCAATATCTGTCACTTATTGATAGAAACAGCTAAATAAAATACAATCTGAAAAATAAAATTCCTAGTATAGCCTAAAACCTCTGAGTCATGCATACCAAACAGAGGATATGTCCTCAAGGAGCCCACCATCTACTGGGGAGGCAAACCATTAGTGCTAGGAACAGAGTGGGAGACAGACATGTGAATAGCCAACTAATCTTCACTGGTACATGCTATATAAAGACTGGACATTCCAACTACTGAAACTGAGGCGAATAACAGATAACTTCTGACTCGAGGATTAGTAAAGGCTTAAAGAGGGTTTTATTTGAAGGTTTTTGAAGGGCAGAGAGGGGGAAGTTCTGAACTGAGAGAACCGTGTGATCAAAGGGAAAGGTATGTGAAAGAACACGGAGACTTCATGGAATAACCTGCAACTCAAAGAGGCTGGGATGTAGGTCCTGGGACCTGAGGTCTGGAGAGGTAGACTGAAGCCAGACCACTGAGGGCTTTCTCAGAGTCCCTGAGGCCTATCCAGATACTTGGCTCCCTCCCTTAGATGGTGAAGTAAGTGAAAAAAATGGAGAATATGTGCATTTCAAGAGGTAGGCAATGGAAGAATAATAATAAGGAACATGTGGAGGAGTAAAAACAGAACCTGAGAGAGTAACATCACACTATCATCATGAACCAAGAGCCCAAAAAGAATGTGTGAAAAGGGTGTAAAATACTACAGAGGCGGAGCAGCACTAGAAACAAGAAATTTTTGGTTTTGTCATGGAGTAGACAGGGCTTTTAGCCAGTTTATTCTGGTTCGATGCCCTGCTGAGAATTTGCATTTCCATTTCATTCATACTGAATCAGAATCTACATTTCAACAAGATCCCCAGGTGATTCTTATGTATAATAAATATTGAGAATCACTGCTCTCCTAGTGGTTCTCAGAACTGGTCTGTAAGCAGCAGCATTAACATCACCTTGTTAGAATGTAAATTCTCAGCAGCGGTTTGAACCAGAACAAACTGGTGCAAAGCCCTGGTACTAGGTCACTGGCTACTCCTAAAAGGCAGTTCCTTTTACCCTGGTGGTGTAGTGGTTAAGAGCTACGGCTGCTAACCAAAAGGTGAGCAGTTTGAATCTACCAGGCACTCCTTGGAAACCCTATGGGGCAGTTCTACTCTGTCCTGTAGAGTCGCTATGAGTTGGAATCGACTCTCTGAGAGCAATGGCTTTTTGGTTTTGTGGAGTGGTGCTGAAAGAAACCAGATTACAGGAGGTTACGGGGTGTGTGTGTGTATGTGTGTGTGTGAGAGAGAGAGAGAGAGAGCTGGAGAGGAACAGCATTGGAAATGCAAGGTTGGATTTTTTTTTTAATTGAGCAAGTGACACAATGAACACTTGGGGGGACTTGCTGGGGAAGGGAGCAGGATCCTGAAGAAACATCTTCAAGATGAAACTAGAAGAACAATATGACATGGGTGATAATGGCAGGATTCTTGGCATGGGGGGAAATAAGGCCTTGTAAAAGAGAATAACCTTAGCTTTCTTGCAAAGCTCAGGGAAGGAGAGAGAACTCAAACTGAAAAAACAGTCTTAGGAGGCAGGTGTGGAATCTGAGTTGTGTCACTAAAAGCATTAGGCCAGGTCATCTGTTTCAAGCAAGGTGAGTACAGGTGGAGACGCAGTTTAAGAAGTGAGCAGAGGGATCAGAATGGTCACCGTGAAGACAGGGAGAGTGTGCTAACTAGATCTAAAAGCAAGGACTAATGAGAAACACTAAGGAACAGTGGGGATTCGACCATGAGCTGCAAACAAGATCTTTGCCTGCAGTACTGTAGAATGCTGTATCCAGTCCAGAATCAGAGAGCTTATGTGGGGGGCTTCTGTGCTTGTTTCATAAATTCCTTTAAATATCTATTTTGATTTCATATACCTTGAGAAAAATCACCCGGATATATATAAGAACCCCCTCAAGTAATGAATGCTGTTGTTGTTAGCTATGGTTGACCCCATGTGTGCAGAGTAGAACTGTGTTCTATACGGTTTTCAAGGCTGTGACCTTTTGGAAGCAGACCGACAGGTCTGTCTCCTGAGATGCCTCTGGGTGGATTCGAACCACCAATCTTTCAACTAGTAGTTAAATGCTTAACCATCTGCACCATCCAAGGTCTCCTTAACAAATAGATGATATATAGATAGATACACAGACAGACAGACAGATAGATACACACAGATAAAACATAAAACATGATGCCAAACCATTAAGTATATATAAATAAAATAATTCACTCTTCATTTAAAATGAAAAGAAAACTGGGCATATATAGCTTATTGTTTCAGATCTCACAGATGCAAAGTTATTACAGAAACTAACCAACTTTCTTCCTGAAACAAATTCAAAATACGGAGGCAATCTTTCAGTTAAAAAATAACAAGAAATGGTCCCACTGATCGCCACAAAAGGTAAAAAAAAAAAAAACTGACTATGACAGTATCTTCAACTTCTCCTAAACAAACAGAACAAATGGTAAGAGAAGGAACATCTGTACATATCTGGAAAACAACAATGAAGCAGGAAAACAACAATAAAGCAGGCGAAGTAACCTATTTGTTTATGTCAGATAAAGAATGCCAGGCAAGCTTAAAAAGGATTTAAACAGAATTACAAACTTGCTGCACGGAGGCTTCACAATAAAAAAAAAAATCAATGGGCACTGAAACGACATATCTTTACTTCAGAAAA